AGAAAATATATAAAATTTATATCCAAATTATATCCAAATTTTTATCGTTATCCAAATAAATTTTTTCAATTTGATATTCAAAATTTTTCCGGTCCTTGCCGATAATGTAGATAAGTCACGTGCATGCTGTGTCGGTATATTTCTCCAGTAAATATTTATTTTGCGACACCAATTTCACTAAACAGATCATAACAATAAATCTTCAGAGCCCATTCTTTTTCTTTCGAAGTTCTGAGAAAGATCTTAGGCTTAATATTAATTTTTCCTATTGCTATAACGATAAGCGTTGCGAATAAAATTTAAAAATTTAAAAAATGTTTAATTACACGAATACCATGTAAATAAATTTGGCTCTATTACTATGTGATATTTTAATGCAACCACATTATTTTTATTAAATAGCATTTATGAATACGTAGCATTTATTTGCTAAAAAAAACTTATTTACAAATGCTTTAATTGTATGCTATAAAAATTGTTACAGATCATGGTGAAATCGGATTATCGTGAAATTTGGGGTCTCAATTTGAAAATATAAGCCTTACCAAAATCCACCTATACTCTTTTACTAATTCAAATTTCATGATGATCTGATTTCACCATGATCTGTGACAAAAATTATCAACCCCGATCGCTACTATAATGTAAATGAATATTGTTACATGACAAATTTCCGTTTAAACTATCGTTATTGTTATTATCAAATCATTAACTTTGATTTATTTTTATTTATTGAATATGTATTAGCACATTCACATTGCTTATATGCTATCTGCTACTTTTTTACAGGTCTTACACTGTTCTAGCATTACAAACCTAAAAAAATTTACTAGCAGATCAGATTTCAAGATCAGGTGTGACGCAGAAGAAATGCAAAAAATCAAAATAAACCAAAAAATCACTTATAACTCAACATTTTATCTATGTAACCACCTTCTGCGCATTAACAAAAAGTTTTTTCTTGCAAAATTTTGGTACTATTGAACCTTTCTGACCTAACTTAATAGCACCTAAACTAATTTAATAGTGAAATTTTTTTAGCGAAATTTTTTAGGTTGGTAATGCTAGATTAGTTCATCAACTTCAACTCTAATTTGATAATAATTTCTAACATGAAATATTCCACTAGAATTATTCATATCTAGTAATATATGAATACCTTAGGTTCATTTTTTTCAACATCTATTCCATGTTGATAACGGCATTCAGATTATAAGGGTCTAACTTTGTTGATGTTTTATGATGCCCCTATAAAAAATATTAAGCTTTATTTATCTATGATTTTTCTGTGTATAAATTCCATATTTTTTCCATTTAAATTACTAAATAACAATTTCCATATTTCTTCCATAAATATATCATATTTATGGATTATTCATGGGATTATTTTAATAAAATAATGGAAATTATACAAAAACTTCACTGAAACATATGCAATAATAAAACAAATTTGTATTGGATCATAAAATCAACTGAAAACTTTGCTAAAATGTATGTAATAATAAAGAAGTTATAAAAAGCTTTTATCAAATTATGCAAGTAATAAAGATAATTTACTGAGAATATATGACATTACTTATATAAGTAATATAGAAACTTTACTGAACTAAAATAGTATATATATATTTTTTGCACGGATAAAAGCTAGAATTTATTTGTAAATATATCATAATAGTAGTGAATATGCATTTAATAAAATATAAAGTTCTTAATTTTTACTTTTTTTGGTTTTCTTTGTAACTCTTGCTTTATGTGAAGACGGTTCCGGTTCCTTTGCCTTCTGCTTCCTTTTTCTCTTTCCACCTATATAAAATAAAGTAAATTATATAATGTGATATTAGAAAAAAAAATATAACACTTATTCTAACAGTATTCTTACATACCAATCTCATCCAAAACGCCAGAGTTTTGTTTATTGGGTTCAACATTTTTGATATTACCATGTTTTTGAGAAGAGCGAAGAACATTCTTTAGTGATGATACATTATCTGAAGGAATTATATTATTTTGAACTATTTTTTTTAAAAACTGATTTTTTTAGTAACATTTGTTACAGGTATAAAGTTTTGTGCTATGTATATGTACATACGTACATTCATACATATCTTTGTTTTTATTTGTAATATTTTGATCATGAATAACTTTAATTTTTGTGTTACGTAATCGTTTAGGGAGTTGAATATTCTTTCTCGATTTATTTTTTGTAAGGGTCAATAATTCATTTTGACTGAAATTATCATAAATATCAATTACAGTAGTTAAAGTATCAGAATTATGTGCGCTTTATGTATATTATCTTGATCGAAGGTTACTAAAAATAATTAATTTGTTGACTTAAAATTGTTTGCTTAATATAAATATATGCACCATTCTTACCATTATTGTTATTATTGCTGCCAAATGAATCTTGCGCATTATCAGTATCATCTGTGTCACTTTGATCATGATCACTTTCAATATTAATACTATTTGTGTTACTATTATGTCTAGGTTTGACATTTTTTTTCAGTAGAAGCACATACCCCTTTGCCTTTACTTCAGTAACTTTGTTGTGTTTTTCTTGATCAACATTCAAAGAGTCTTGCGCATTATCAGCCTCATCCATGTCACTTTGATCTAAAGTATTTTCGATATTATTAACATTTTTGTATTATTATTGCGTCTTCTATTGGAAAGTTTGACATTTTTCTTTTTTGGTAGTTGCACACACTCCTTTGCTTTTGCTTTAGTAACTTTATTTTTTCTTGATCAACATCCAAAGAATCTTGTGAATTATTAGTCTCATCCATGTCACTTTGATTAAGAGCACTTTCAGCATTAATATTATTTGTAATAACATTATTTGTAACATTATTTGTAGTAACGTTATTTGTAGTAACGTCATGCCTTCTCAAAGGAGGTTTAATATTTTTTTTTGGTAGCACATATACCCCTTTGCCTTTGCTTCATTAACTTTTTTTTTTCTTGATCAACTATTGTAAGTTCTAGTTAATGTATTTGATAATTACACGATTTATAAAAAAAAATTGTATATTCATACTATTACAATATGAAGTAAGCCACTCATGAAGAATAAAGTCGGCTTCAGAAATGGGAAATATTGAATTAGCTTCATTAAACTATAATAGATATTAACTTTAGCTTTTTTGTCTTTAAACAAATATTAAAAATTTATAGGCTTACCTCTTTTATAACCTCTTTAGCTTTCCCTTTTGGTTGGCGAGATAAAGATACATCATGCAAGAATTGAGAAGTTGCACGATTTCATAATTCATTCTAAAAAATAAATAATCAAATAGTAATAAAAATATTGTAATGATAATAACAATATATAATTTACTCGGAAGTTTAGATATTGCTTCTTATCAAGTTTTAAAAATTCATGCCACTGCATGTCCTTATTAACTTTTTTTTGAGCCTCTTTATAAACTTCATATTCATTGAATGTAATCGGGTTCATTGTTGACCCTTTTGGAAACTATAAAATCTATTTAATATTTGGTTATCAAATAAAACAATAGTAAAAAAAAATTTTACTTGTTCATTAATTATTCTACGCACTGCACTATGCGCATCTAAAAATGATTCTGTAAGAGAAGGATAGATGGCAATTAGCACAGAATATAATCAACGACGTTGCTCAGAATTTAGTGCATTAATTAGAGATGGATCTGTATCAAACAATTCAAGGAAAAACTGATGATGCTATTCAGAATTAAGTGTATGAATATTAATTGAGGTATTATTATATGGTATTTCTAATATTAAAGGCAGTAAACTTATATGTTAGCAAATAAGAAATAAAGAAAAGATTTATTTACTTGATCATTTATATATCAATTATTTATATATTAATTTTTAAGTATATTAATTTATTCGTTATTGATATTTTTGTGATCAAAAGTATAATGAAGTTAAATAAATACTTATTTATAAGATATGAAAGTAAATTTTTTTTCACTTGTTTTTCAAATTTTCTCAATAATATAATATAGATAATAAAGTTCTTTGTACATATATCTGGTACTTGCAAGAATCAAATGGTCAGGGCAAATTAGTTAGTAAATCAACTCATGCAAGACATTTATTAAAGCAACAAAATACTTGGCCTAATTCACAAATTCCAGTTCAAGAGAGACATCTAGTTACTCCTATTTTTCAAAATTCTTCAACGATTGTATTAACATTATCCGCTGTACCAGTAGTAATATTATGTACTAATCAAGGTGAAACAAATCAAAATTGTATTAATATAGAATTGAATAACTTATTTAGCCATAATTATGAAATATTAAATAGTGAAAAGGAATATGCAGTGTGTAATATAGATAATAATGAGTATAATGATGAATATGACGAGAAATATAATAGTGAATATAATGAGAAAGATGATGGGGAATATAATGATAAATATAACAATAAATACAATGAAAATAGTAAGGAAGAAAATGAGGAGTATAATGAGAAATATGATAATAATGGATATGATGATGAGGAATATAATGAAGAATATAATGAGGAGTGCAGTAATGAATGCAGTGAAGAATTTGATATTGGTAAGCTTATTATTAAAAATATATGAATTTTTTGATACTATCATATTATATATTAATGATTATTTCAGAAAATTTATTCAAGGGCTTGCGACTTTTTCGAATCAAAAACCAATATAATATCTCAGACACTGCATTTAATAAAATTCTTAAAATCTTAGAGATTTCTGAAATCATGCTTTACAAACTACAAAGGCTTCTTGGAAATCTTGTACCTTTTAAACCAACACTTATAGATTGCTGTATTAATTCATGTATAGTATTTACAAATGAATTTATTAATTTGAAATACTGTCCAGAATATAATAAGCCTCATTATAAATTTGGCAAAACTTTAAAGGAATCTAGAAAAAGTGCTGCCTACTGGCCACTTGTAAGCTCACTTCAGATACAATATAGAGACAAAACTCGAGCTGAAGCTCTTTGTTACCGATATACTTATATCACAATATGTGATTATGTAGTTGGTGACCAAATAGCTAATATCTTTGACGGTCTTCAATATAAGTCCTTAGTTTCTTCTAGACTTTTTTAGATTATAGAGATATTGCTCTAATAGCGTCTACTGACAGTATTAAATATTTTATCAAAAACAAGATGATTGTTGAGTTATTCTCTTTATAAATACAAATTTGCCACCTGATATACATGTTCAATGCGAAAACTTAATGATCACTGCACTAATTCCAGGACCAAAAGTGCTAAAAAACTTTAATACTTTCTTGCGACCACTAGTGAATAAATTAAAACAACTACAAGGTATTATTAATTGATTTTAATAGATTATCTAAAGCCAGGTATATAGTAATTTATATGTATTACATGATTTTAGTTTACAATTTGTTAGTTATCAATTTAAAAACTATCTGGCTTTAGGTGACTTTTGCTTATTTCAAATATTATATTAATCAAATTTTGTTATAATTAATATAGAAGGTATTCAATATATTGATGGTGTAACTGAAGAAACTTTTATTCTTCATACTCATATTCTAAGTTGGTCAGGTGATATTCTAGCACTTATCAAAGTTATGTGTACAACTGGACATAACTCTTATAAAGCTTGTCGATTTTGTTCTATTTGTGGTATATGTTGTAAAGAAAACCGGCATATTTATTTTCTACTTAAGCCTCCAAATGGTGTATTAGGATGTCTGTATAAACCTAAAAATCTTCCATTATGAACACATGAGGATTATTTGCTAAATATTACTGCTATAGAATGTTTAAATAGATCATCATGTAAATGTGAAGTTCAAGAAAGAGGTAGATTATTAATTTGAGTATATATTTATATTTTAAATAATATATTAGTTTATCTATTTTTTAGGTATTAATGGTCAAAGCGTCTTAAGTCAATTAAATTTCCCAATTTATTTCCTGTTGATATTATATACTGTTTATTTGAGAATATTGCTCCAGCAATGCTTTGATATTGGTCTGATTTGTTTTTTAAAGATAATCAATTATCAAATTCTGAGTATACTATTTCTAATAGTGTGTGGACAGACATCGGAAAAGTAATAGATAAAAACAAAAAAAATATGCCTTTAAGTTTTGGCTGTCCGCCTATTGATATTTATTGATATTCTGTAGTGTTTAAGGGTAGAGGTTACATAGATCATTTTTCATATGATTTCTGTGGTACTATAAGATTTACACAGATTACAAAAATTCACCTCTGATTGAAATTTTTATAGCCACAGTTAATTTGTGCCAAAATTTCGTGGCTTGTAAATTAAAATCCTCTTTTATAGTAATAAAGGTTTTAAGAGTTATATTATTTCGAAAAAATATACTTACATATACCGTAAAGTTTTCCGTAGTCATTTCGGATTTTCCAGGGTTATACAAAGCGGGAAATTATTCTATTAGATTTCTAGAACAAATAATTGCCTAATCAGATTTGCCAAATACTTATTTCAAAGTTTCATACTATATCGCTAACTCTACGAAATAAATTTATTTGAATCAAATGTTTATTTAAAAAAAGTTTCGCACGAACAACTAAAATTTAAGATGATCATAACGAGTAAGAGCTAAAAAAAAAGGTTCGTTGTAGAAATCACTTTTATAAGCGCACCTTCTCTATATTTGCTCAGTCCAATTAAAACAAAACTTTTCTATCTAAATTTATGCCCACAAATATATACTTATAGTTGGCCCAAGAGGGCGCATACCGTAAAAGTTCATATACAAGACCCAGGTTTATTTCATTCTACCAATTTTAAACCTTTTAGTAGACCCGAGTTTAATATTCGCCCAGGGCTATATCATGAAAAAAAATTATGGAATTGGAGTTGAAAAAAATGTTCGTGAAGGATTCGTTTATTATCAAAAATCGGCTGATATGGGAGATTCTGATGGATCATATTATGTTGGTATTATTATCACGATAGAATTGGAATTGAAAGGAATGAAAGTAAGACATTCAATTATTATCAAAAATCAGAGAAATAGAAATTGTCGATGGGATATTTATAGTTGGTTATTGCTATCAACATAGAATTGGTGTTGAAAAGAATGAAAATAAAGTATTCATTTATTATAAAACCACATAAGATTCTGTGGTTTACACCTGAGTTATTCATTGGGGTCTACTATTTTGGAGAACCTTGTATGAACTTTTACGGTATATAGAAGCTTGTCTAATATACATTAGTCAAGATATTTATATAAAATCTATTATTTCAAGTTTTGACTAACTTTCTCATTTATTTATATTTAGTGTTAACGTCCGGGTCCCTTAGTTTAGAAGGCGCTAATGATAGAAGTCATTCTCATTATAGTGAATTGATCGGGCTATAAGATTTTCTTCAGGTCTATTAGTAGATTTACTATCTCGAGAGACTCTTTATATAAACTGGTCTTTACTATAACTAGTAATTCATTATAATGAGAATTTATTATAATGAGAGTAACTTGTGAAATTATTTCAAAAAAAAAAAAAAAAAAATTTTCGCTCTACAATAGTTTTATTACTATTTTTTTATTTAAAAATTTTTTAATAAATTACAATAATAATAATACCATAATAACGAATACTTATAATTAAAATTTTTAACTTTATGAGTATTGCAAATAAACCTATAATAAATAATAATTTCTTTAAGATGAAATATTAGTTATAAATATGAATGATGAAAAAAAAATATTAAAACGTTATTCCATACTTACACACACCATCTTCTGACCCAATGATTTCAAAAATTATATTTTGGTAATGAAACGCCGCCTTTAGCAAATTTATACTGCTGTTAAAACCACAACCTAACGCAAGTTTCTTAAATAACTCTCAGCTATGCCTACGTAATTTTCAATACATTACAAATATTATTTTATATAATCATGATTAACAGCATACTGTATTTCACTACATAAACTACCCAGAATCTCTTACTTTAAGCATCGATTTAGACCCAAGGAGCCTTGTATGCAAAAAACCATATTACAGACCCAAGCCTTTTACTTTTTACCTCAAATCAAACCCAAGTATCAAACTCGGGTCTACTATACTATTATCGGGTGGTTTATGCAGTGAATTGTTAAATTGTACTCATAATCTGCTTAAGATGGGTAATTCCAACAATGTTGCGGGATGAGAGAAGTTCAAATAACTTCAGACTTTTAAAGCTTAGTTGGCAACTTTAATTATATAATAACTAACGTTACCTTGATAGTATTTTCTTTTTTTAAAAAAAATATAAGCTGATCAATATACGATCTATACAAAAAAAAAAAAAGGTAATAAGATATCCAATTATTAACCAAATTATATTTGTTCCACAATCAAAATAAATTCCCACCTATGCCGTTAATACAAATTCCGTAATTATCTAACTAAAGTGCATTATTCGATTACCCTTATTATAGAATTCGGGTATTCTTGACTCAGAGATATAATTATATTATATCAAGTTACTAATAAACCACTAACTTAAAATAATTGTGATATTTATTTTGTTACTTTTTTTTATTGCTTTTACTGTAATGTTTTTTCCCTTATTCTAATGTTCATGGTCAAATATCACATGTAACAATATTACCGACACATTTTCTATATTTCTTTATTCGAAAATATGTTTAAAGCTAGTAATTAAAATTAGGGTTGAATTAGTTTAATGTTAGATAAACATTATAAGTAAAATTATTCACCTGAGATTTTTTTAGACTGCTAATGAAAGTGAAAATAGGTCATCACGGCCGATATATATATATATATTAGCGATTCTAGAGTTTAAAGAATTATGTGGATAGCGCCACCTGCAGCAATTGTTGCTGTATTAGTTCTGCAGTGCTATCACAATGAAAATTTTAACCCTGCATTGAATATTATGCATTGGTGGCACCACCCACATGACCTGTAAATTGATAGCTGCCCTTGTCGTATCTAATGAAATTAACTGATCATTCGGCCGAGCTTACTGATGTCGAGTAATCATTTTGCTTTTAGTTGTCTAAGAATTCATAAATGATAAAAGTATAAAATGAAACCAGATCTTACAAGGTTTTGCAATAAATTATTTTAGAATTCTTCTCTATTAAACATATCAGCGAAATATTAACAATTTTAAATAAAAAAAATATTTATCATAAATCTAAAATGGTTAAATGGCATGAACAATATATTGCTCAAATGCCAGAAAAAAGAAAGCGGATAGGAAATTCAAAAGATAGACCTCTTGTAAGAGAAATTGATCAATTAGAAGTCTTATCTCTACATGCATCTCTAAGAGCGATCTCACTTCAAGGAGAAGTTTCTTCAATGATAGGGTATTATCTTTATAAAACCAAAGCTGGAAATGATGAATGGATTCCATTATTACCTGGATATTTGGTTTTTTTTATTCGGCAAAAATGATTTGAAAATTTAGCATTGTGAATGAAAATTATCGTCTTAAATTTAAATTGAGTATTTGCAACGATAATGATTTTCAGAAATCATTAGAAATCCATTCTGATTATTGTTTTTTCCAAAAAGCAAAGACAAGATATAATCCAAATAATTTATGTTCTTTACCTTATTTGCTCAGATTCTTGGAATCTGATAATGTTACTTTTTTACAGACAACTGTCATGGCACATCATCCAAATCGTTTTCCAGAGTATCAACAACTGACAAAAGCTCAAAATTATGAAGCCTCATTGTAAACTAGATTAAAAAGAAAGGCTGATGAAATAAGTGCTCTGATTGAAAACGAAAAAAAAAAGAAACTTCGGGTATTCCAATGTGATATGACATACTCCTTGAAAAAGAAGGTAAAACCTTGCCTCCAGAAAGTATTCAAGCATTAATGTTGGAAAATGAAGAAGGCAAAATAAAAATCCGTAACCTTAGTCGGCAAATATCCCGTCTCAAACAACACATAGAACAGCTTGAAAGTGAATTAGAACAAAGTATTATAATCTCTGACAATGATAATTTGTTAGAGAAAAGTATAAAAGATGTAATAGAATCTAATCAGCTTGGTTCCACAATGCTGGTTTCTACACACCAATATCTTTCACTTGTTTTAACACAACCTTGCCCTAGTTGCAATAATCAAAACCTTTTAGATAAAACGTATGATATATCATCAATTGGATTTCAAGTTAATAGTATAATAGAATGCACAAAATGCAACTTTACTTATGAACATAAAAATGAAAAAGAAATTTGATTTTCAAAGGCTGTGGCTGCTGCAGGGCTTGCAGGTAGATTATCTCATAACGCTATACAAAGTTCACTTGCTACAATTGGAATTACTAGTCAGATTAGCAAAAAAACATATAATAAGTACCAAAAAATGTACTTTACCCCACTTATAGCCTGGCTAAATCAAGCACGATACAAGCTTTAAAAAAATGTGTCGAATATACACTGAGCCAAAATAAAGAAGCTTTAGCTGTGGGGTTTGATTGTTCGTGGTCTCATGCATGAAAAGCAAATCAAGCCAGTGGTGAATTTATATGTCAGGAAACGCCACCTGGTATGTTGAATTATTTTTTTTATATCAATTTTAGTATTTAATTAATCAAATGTTTATTATTAGACTACTCTTATAAACCAATCGTCACATTCTATATAACCCAAAAAAATAGAACCACAAAAGTTAATAATACAGAACTTACAAGAATAGTTCATCAAGGCAACTTTGACAAGTCTTCAAGACAAATAGAATATACTATTTTAATAGAGGTAATA